ATACAAACATGTTCTTGCATGAGGCCAAAAGGGTGAAAGTAAAAGTGAAACTGAAACTGTCTGCTGACAGAAGCGGAAGGTGGTTCTTAAAGAGACAGAGGCCAATTTCAAGGTGTTTAGAAGAGGAAGTGATGAGAAGATTTTATTTTCTATTTAAACATAAAAACAGCATTTTTATAACAGCTAAAGGCGACATAGATACTTTATTATGGTATAGTATTTAAATGTCTGCCTGAGAAACACATAATATTGGCCCTTTAAGAGTTTTATTTAGCATTTCAACATTACAAGTTATAAAGACTCATTTATACTGAGGAGAGACCATTCTGCAGATGTAAACATCTTTATTGTACTGAGGAGAGATATGCTGCTCTGTTTTTATGCTTCCGCCTACCTTAAGTTTGTGTTCTTTCCTGTTGACTATCACAGCAGTGATCTGCTGGTCCATGAATACAAGAATGGTGACCAGCAGAGCAGGAAGTGCAGCTGCCAAGTACACCCACCAGGGGTTTCCTCCAAACGGAGGAACGAACCAGCCCCTCAGTGGACTTGTTGGCTGTAAAGGAAAAAGAAAAACATGGCGGAAGAAGACAACTGTTAGAAGAAAGAGCACATCAATTAATGTGACTAATTCTAAACTGCAAGACTGATAAACATGTGATGTTTACAATGTTCTATGAATCAAATGTGTCTTCAGGAGATTACAGTAGCTAATCGTAGCATTCTGTTATTTACATTTTACTAAAAGTCTCAATTTTATTTAGAAATGAGGTTGTTGCGTTTCCATTGCAAATGTGCGCAAAACTTTGTCGATATTCTGTTAATGTCGAAAAACAGTTTTGCAACTGCAGTGTTTCCATTAAGTAAGAAATGNTTTTTGGGAAATTGTTGTTGGTGAGTTTACTATTTTATACTACTTTGGTGATTTCACCACTACTTGTACTTCCTGTTATCTTCTTTGTCGTCTTTTTCGCCAGTAGAAACAGCCGGTTGTTGATCATGTGACTCCCGTGATGCAAAAAAAGTGTTTCCGTTGCAGTTTTGCAAAATACATAAATTTCAATATGGCCGAAAAACCACCTCTTCCTAGCGCAAAACCACTTTGTCGAAAAACGTAATTTTTCTCGAAATTGACGAGTTTCCATCGAGCAAATTTATTTTTGAAATTCCAATTTGCGCATTTTCATGGTCAATGGAAACGCAGCGAGTGAAGCGCATCTCCAGCACAGAATTAATCAATTAATTCAGTTGAAAACTTTTTTTAAAAAGCTCCTCAGTCAGAAGCGGTCACTTTAACACTCAGTGAGTCTGCAGTTTGGGATTACTGGTGCATCATTACATGTCAGAAAAGAGCAAATTAAACCTCGGCGGTGAAAGAAAGCTGGCTCTGTATTTCCAACTAGAGGACCGTTTGTTCTCACATCACCTGTAATCAACTTTTACCCCGCTCTGGAGCAAACGAAGGGTCTGCGGAGGGGAACATTTGAGCTTAGCAATCACCAAGAATGTCTGTCTTAGTTTCAGGTAATATGCATCCTGCCGCGCAAACTACAAAGAAAGCATTATAGTGGGATTTGAAAGAATTAGAGGGGCTTTCTTGCAGCAACAAGTATCATTAATGGTGTAATCTGAGGAAACTGGACATGCCTGACCACTGTCCTTCTGTTCAAATTCGAGCACAGAATGAGACGTTTCTGTTCCTCTACCTTGAATTCACTAGGCACGATCAACTTTGGAGTGTCCACACCGACTAAGGCATCCATGCCGCAGAAGAGAAGAATGGTCAAGATGATTGCGAAGTCACTGATGAGTTTCCTCACCTGCAAACACAAACCGGTCAGATGGTGTTTGTGACCAAGTCAGACAAAAAGGAACTTGTTGGGAGCTTTTATGTATGGGGTGCCGTTTGTAAAGTTACACAGAAAAAAAAATACCACCAATAGTTTTGTTTTATTTAGCTTTTTATAAGAAATAAAGNGTATGAATCATATGGTGAAAAACTGACTTTGAAAAATAAATCTGTTCTTGTTTTCTTATAAAAGTCTAAATAAAACAAAACTATTGGTGGTAATTTTTGATTGTGTAACTTTACAAAAGGGAACCCCATACTTACGTCTGATGCCACAATCAAGTGGTTACAGCAAGTAGGAAAATTAAAAGTTAGCTTCTAAAATTAGCATCTACAGAACAGAAGTCATGATTTTTAAAACTAAAGTAAACTCGCTCAGCTATTAGAGGGATGTAACTCTTCAGCTCTGATGTCAGCTGTTCATTATTCATTTCTTTAGATCTATTTAACCTACATAAACACCATGTTTCTAATCTCAGAATCCAAATACTTTTATTCACAGTTTATCAGCATTTGATCTGAGTTCTATTTTCTCTTTAGGGAACTCCTTTTCCTGTCATATAAACCAGTGTACGTGTTGGTGAGCTGCGACTTCCTGGTCTGAAGGTGCGTTTGTGTATACTCCTTTGAAACAAGAAAAAAAAAGGGGGGGTCGTTCGCTGAATTCAACTTTATATCAGCTGTTCTCACAGGCTTGGGGCTGTTTTTGTATGACCTGAGAGGAGGCACTACATATAAGATAAAGCCAGGGATCAAAAGTCCTGTTTGTATGAAACTTCCCCCACAGAGGTGACATCATTCTGAACAATCTGAGCACCCACACATCTTTTAACACAAAGTGTTGCTTCAGATAACGGCTGAGGCTTTTTGATCGTCACTCTTTTTTTAATCTCGTGAAACGGTTACGCTGCAAGGTCAACTAAAAACCCTCTGAGGAGTCCACGGCTTACTGTCGTGGGGAAGAATCTGCTGGTCTTGAACTTCTTCAGACTCATGGAGCAGGTGTAGGTCCCAAAGAACAGGATGAAGGACATGAGGGTGATGTCAGGCACGAAGCCGCAGGCATCTCCGACCAGTCGCCCGTTAATCAGCTCACACTGCTGCTTGGTCAGCGTCGCCCAGCTGGCATTCTCCGGCTGCAGACACAAGAAACATACGTTATAAGGAAACAACAACAAAAAAAATCATAAATGATTCTGAATCTTCACAGCTTGTCCTGTTCTACCACAACAAGCAGACAACGTACCAGATCAGTACTGGTTGTCCAGGCAGAAATATTAAGGAGGTCTGACGCATTGCCCGCTGAAAAGAAACAATGATATCTAATCAGTAAAAAGGAAAAACTTCTGATAGCAGCAGTATCACAGCTACAACTGTAAATCTGTGTCAACATGTCTCTGCAGCGTTAGAGCCAAGCGGTTCAGTTCACACACTGAACGGGCCGCTGAGAAAGTAAACACAGGGATCCACCCACTGATACACATGAGTAACATCTGGTATTTCCACTGCAAACACACTCCAGGACAAAGTGGAAAACACCAAGTTAAATCATTCAGGATTTTATTTAATTATTACTGAATATTTGATGGCGGTCTGACACAATCATGGTATCTCAGTGCTCTTATTTACCAGAGTCAAAGTTCCTGTAGTCAGTCTTTGTGGAGCACAAGGATCCTACACAGGAGTCCAGTTTCTACACTCTAATTCTCAAGTATTTTTTTGGTTTGTTTTCTGGGCTATTTTTTTCATTCCCCAAAGCACAAATATTTCACGTAAATTTTTCAACTTCGCAAGTAATGTTTGGGCAGTGGTTAGGCATTTATTTTTTGCATGCTCCAAATACTACAAAAAAAAAAAACAATAAAGTACGCCTAAAAACTCATTAAAACCAGAGGTGCTCTGATGATTTATCGTCACAGATTTCCTTAATTTTGGGAGATTGAAGATCGGCTGCTGCTTGGATAAGATCAGTGGAAAAGATCGTCTTCTCTTCTACCTCCACAAAGGTCTGGAAATCAGCCACTGTCCCCTTCTGCTCCGCTGTGAGCGCTAACTAATGTCCAGTTAAAACAAGTTTACATTGGTTCAGGGGTATTATTCAATGTAAACATAGAAATCAGTTTAAAAAAGACACAAAAAAATTATTTTGAGTTATTTGGTCGATGTTGAGGGCATTTAGAGATTAAGTGAAGCACGGGTGTTAAATAAGCTATTATTGTTAAGTTTTGCTGTAAATGAGTTAGGATGTGTATGTAAAATCAGAAGGTTCATAACAATAAAAATCAAGACTATATAACTTTTTTTGATGAGTAAGAAAGGGAAACATGTTATGTTTGATTTGTTTGTAAGAAAATATAAGTCTTTACTTAAACCTACTCCTTTTCAATACAGATGGTCTTGTAAGCTGCCCAATACAAAATATTCATTTATGTGTTTATAGATATTAGGGGTGCAACAATACATGTACCCATATGGAACAGAGCTTTAGGGTCAATACACACTTTTATTGAACAATACAGATTTATAAATTTATTTTATCAACTTGTCTTCTGAAGATGCTCTGTGTTGAAGGATCAGTGGATCTGTGTTCGACTACTCCACCTAGGCTGTATTTTTGAGCTCAGATCCACTGAGAAACTTGCTGTTTCGGCAACATTTAATTTAAAAACTGTATTTTTGAGGTTAAAAAATGTTCATAATTAAAATAAATAAATTACAAGTTAAAAGGGGCATGGACATTTCTCTTTTTTGTATCAAAAAAATATCGAACCGTGAGACTAAAGT